AAAGAAGGAGATTGCTCCTTCCTCCCTCCTTCCTATTGCTAATGTATAACCTGGGCATTGCCAAAAGAACAGAGACCTGCCCCTGACCCTCCGCTTAGATTTTAACTTCTAGATGGTAAAAAAGAAGATGCAATTTAGAGCCTTTCAAGTAGCAGGATGAAAGTGAAGGTGACAGATGACAGCAACATATCCACCAATCAATAGATATTATTCAAGTGAAAACCATTCCAACATGTCACTTGTGGTGCATCACCTTGTAGCAAGTGGCAGTTTAATCTTTATCACCTAAGCAGAATGGAGGGACTGGTGAGGTTTGGCAGAACAGTGGCTGCACCTTTTATGGCACTGTAAAGGTAATTGTGTTTGGTGCATCACCGATATCTAAGACACCAATTACCTATACAGCACTGCAAAAGAGAATCTGCACAGAGAGAGGGAGGGCAAGGATGCAATAGCAGAAGCAGGTGATTCAGCCAAGGTCATTATTTTTCCAGCATCCAAGAGCACGCTCCATAATTTACAGAATATCAAGCGACAAGTTTCCTCCCACCAAGCAGCATACATGAGAAATATAAGCAGGATATCATTCACTAGTAACAAACAGCAGGATAACAGCAGAAAGACTCCTCCAACTACAAGTTAGCCTGGTTTCCCCCCTCTCTAGAAAACCCATAAAAGTCATGGGCTGACTTGCACGTGGAGTCAACCTACAAGTGGAACAACGTGGTATTAATGTGCAGAGCAAATGACTTGGCACAACACCCTTCAGGGACAGCCAGAAGGGTGTCGCTCCGGGTAATTTGCTCCAGCATGGTGATAGCAAAGCAGGTGACCCCACACAGGCTGGCCATGCAGGAAACCAGGTACAGGCATCTCCTCTAGCATGCTGGCAGCAGGTTTGGCTTGCAGAAGTGCCAGAAGGCTAGTTGACCCAGGCTGCCACCAACCCACAGGTCCTAGGGACCTACTCCACTGCCGAGGGAGTCGAGCAGGACAGAAGCTCAGAAGCCCCAAGAGCCCCGCTCCAGGCGCCTGGCTTCATTGCAAGGAGCAGGGCACTGGGAAGGCTTGGGTCCCCAGCTCTCCAGACCGGTAACTACTGAAGCTGCAGGAAATAGCCCACAAGGTGAGTCAGGAAATAGCCCACAGGGTGAGCTGACAGGAAGCCATGCACTATGGCTATGCTGCTGAAGTGGAGATATTTAAAAAAAAAAAAGTTAAAATAGGTTTGAATTTATTTTTACTTAACAGTGGAGTGCGCGTTTTGGAAAACACCAGCCATCCTGAAAATTTCCACCACCAAAACAAAAGTGTCCAAGATTGAATTTAAAATATCTAAAAGACAACGTGTTTCATTCTTCCAAAAAACACAAATTAAACCATCTTCAGAGGTCACATCTGAATAGACACCTATGCATAACAACAGCACAGACATAACCATCCACTTTCTCCTTCCCCACACCTCCTGAAAATCAGGGCAGTTTGGATTCCGGTTGCCTAAAATTAAAGCAATCTGCATGCAGGCTTGGCTCTGGGTGCCACGTGAAATTGGAATCCAGACCTACAGCTCAAAAATGGCTTTTTAGTCAGGGTCTGTCTTTGTTTAATCCTGTAAACACTTTCCATTTATCTAAAAATATTTATCCTGATATGTATTGATGTGAAATTTTTGACTGAGGATAATTTGATGACAGCCCTGGGCAAAAATATCTTTGGTACAGAGGATGCTCTTTTGAGGTCAGCATTCTTAGTGCGTTTAACCCTTTAGGTCCTTTCCTGGGTTTGCAAGATTTTATGTGGGTAATAGCAGTTTGAGGACTCTACCTGTAGCTATTGACTCATATTTGGAAAAAAAGTGGTTTCTTGTCAAATTGAACTTGAAAATATTAGAATCAACTTATAACCGGAACACAAGATATGCTGTTCTCAGGTCTGACGTGCATTATGATTGTGCCATTAAATATAGATGGCCCAAATCCTCAGTTGGTGTGAACTGGTGTGGCTCCATTGAAATCAATAAACCTGTACAGATGTGTATCATCAGGACATCTGGCCCATACATCTTACTCATGGTACATTACTGAGGAGCTTTGCTGCCATTTACCCTTTGCCTTGCTGCCCCACTGTAACTTTGGGCTGTCACTGCCAAATTAGCACTTGTTTTAAAAATGTGGCTTGCATTTTATTGTAAAACCCTCAGTCAGTTTATCCCATTTGCTGCTGATTTCCTTGCTCTCTTCATTTCATTAACTGCCTTGAACTCCCAGCCAGTTTCAGAGCTGCTGCTTTTCTTAAAAAGAAGAAGAAAAAAAGTTTACATTGCCATGACAAGAACTCTGAGTCAAGGCGTTTGAGCTGGGCAAAAGGCTGCAAGAGGCAAAAGGCCAACTGGAAGGAGGGAGTATTTCGTATTCCCACCCTTTGCCTCCAAAAGGTGATCAAACAAATAATAACTATACAGGATTCAAAAGTCGGTCCAGCAATTCTCCTTAAGCAATGGAAGAATTTCACAATCTAAGACACACTCCCACACTCCCCACAGGTCACTTGTCAGACCCAAGAGCAAGTATTTACTTGGCAGGGCCTGTCCAGGGAATCTGAAGCTTCACAAACCACTTAAATTAGGATAGCGATGATTTCAGTGCTAGGTCACTGGTTCAAATCCACCCCGGACTGACAGCTTCTAAAGTCATGACTGTTTAACAATACTTTGGCAGCCCTGGTGAAAGTGGAGGTGTGCCTGGGCAAATAAAGAGAGGGCAGAAGTAACCAGAAGTGTCCTAACAGAAAAGCTTAATGGGCCAAGTGAGCTAGCTTAACTCGGCTCATGTTCATACTTGTCCCCTGAAGGTGGGGTTTGGGATAAAGGAAGTCTCCAGAGCGCTCTGGTTTTGTGGTCAAAGTTACCATCACTCGTTTTTTAAAAGAGCAGGACGACAGAATAATGCATTATAAAATCAGCCGTGCTCCCACTGTCAGGCCTAAGCTTCCTTTGTGCAGATGGGGTTTGTCAGCACAGAAACTCCTCAAAGCAGGCTCCTGGTTTTGCCAAGTCCTTGCAAAGCATGGACACCGAACCCACTACTTCAGTAGTGTTTGCTGGTGTAAGGATGGCAAACACTCCTGTCCTGAGATCTCTGCCATCTCCAACAATCAAAAGTGGGGAAACAAATAAAATATTTAACAAACTCAAACAGAAGCTACACCCCTGCCAGGGTATTGATCCAGAAAAAGAAAAAAAAAAAAATTACCAGAGGCTCCATGAAATCCACTAGCCACTTTACTATGGCTACTGATCCCATGTGGAAGGCAATTTAATGCCACAGCAGTATAACCCTGAGTGCTACACACGAATGCCAAAGGACATGGGCTGCAACCCTGACTGTTCACAATGATCTGGCATTGAGGATGGGAAATGTAACATGAAGCTAGGAGACAACTGGACCATCCTTGAACTTGAAAAACAAGCTGTGTATGAAAAGCCCCAGATTTAAAGGCTCTGGTGCCGACTTGAATACGGATGTCCGAAGTGACAGAAAATGAAGTGTCCTGATTAACAATTACGGGAAACAAAGGTGAGAGCAGTCACTTATTCAGCAATGAATGGTACATTAAAGAAAAATGCCTTTAATACCCTGTTGAGTATTCAGGGGCAGCGGTAAACAAGGTACTGATATACATTACGCTACAAACAATACCAGTGGTGAACCAACCCGGATGAGCCACAAATCAGAGTGAAATTTCAATGCATGAAGTTTAAGCTGGAAGATAAGGGACTGCAATCAAATTACACCACAAATAGATTCATTCATCCCTAAGCATTACTGAAGAGGGAAGATTGAATTAGAGATTGGAATAAAACAATTTAGAAAATAAATGGCACAAATTTATTTTCTATTTATTTTTCTCCGCACCCCCCCCTCCTCTCCCTCCCTCCCTTCCCCCCACCAGCAAAAGTCCCCAGTCTTTAAAGAAAAATGAGATTTAGGATGATTCAGTGAAGGAAACTGAAATACTAATTATCAGGCTGGAAAAACAAGAAGAGTTTGAGTTATATTATTTACCTCCCACTCTAGCTGAATAAACCAACAAAAGTCAACATGCTAACCCCTAGATATAGAGTGTACATTTGCAATTCAAGTTGTTTTCTTCTCAGGCCTTGGCAGAATATATAAATCGCATAAACTGGTCACAAATATTTTTTTTAAATTGTTCTCTCACACACACGCTACCTCCCATTGCCTGTTTTTTTGCAGAAATCTAAGAAACCTAATGAAACACATATTACTCAATAATGGTCCTTGACAAAAAAACAACCCAAGAGTGCAATGTATGCAGGTCGGTTCCTTGCCACCCCCCGCCAAAGGCTTCCACCACTGAAAAAAGCACCCTTTAAAACAAACTGGGCGATTTGCTCTTTTAATAACTGCTGCAAGCGGAAAAAAAAAAAATCCCTCCTCCTCCTCCTCCTCTTGCTCCTGCTGCTGCTGCTGCTCTTGTCTTTGTTGTCCAGACCGATCGCCTTTTTATTTATTTCATTTTTTCAACAGAGGAAAAAAACAGTACTTTCTAGGCTTTTTTTTTTTTTCCCCTCCTTCTTTTCCCCTCTCTCTCTCCCTTGCACATTCCCCACACCTGTTTTCATTCATCCATTCATTTGCAAGGAGCAGCTCCCAGGCGAGATGTCCAGATTAAAGAATACATCAGCTATATAAGGGGGCAGACTAAGGATTTTTTTTTCTTTTTTCTGTTTTTAAAAGAAGAGAAATACAAAGAGAACCCCCTCCTCCCCCCAAATATCCCCACCTGAAATGCCTGAAGAAAAGGGGGGAAAAAAATGCAGCGAGGAACAAAGTTGTTTTCCACCTCTACCCCCCCAACTCCTCACCCCCGCCCCCTTCCCATCCTGGTTTCTGCAACGGAATTAGCCAAGGGAATCTGATCTCACTTGCAGCCTCTTTTATCTTGCATTTTGCTTCCCTTATTTATTTGGCACTTACCTTGTCTTGGAGGAAAGGAAAGCAAGTTTGATTAATCCATAGGTAAACAACTGGATGCTCTCCTTGGCTATGCTGGCTACTTTAAGCCTGTGCTCTAAAATATGCAGCTCCATCTTTTCCTTTTTCTCATTTGTAGTTCATCTATGTTGGGGTTTTATTTTTATTTTTCTGAATGGGGAGGTGGGTGGTTGGGGTCTTATTATTATGATTATGATGTTGGATTCTTCTTCTTCTTCTTCTCCCCCTTTAAGACTCCAGTGAAGGGAAGGGAAAGGCGGGGGGG